AGGACGTTCGGATAAACAATCTTATCTCTATTTTTTTCGAGAATCCTCGTGTAGATGTCATGCAGAAATAACAATCATTCTCATGATTTTATAAATAATTGGCATTGAAAACGGCATGGATTTGTGACTTTCTTCAAGCCAACCTCTCAACGTTCTTGAGCAGCTATTGCAGCATACTTTTGGCAACCAACTTTTATCTCGCTGTTTTTTTAATATGTATTCCCCACAAATGTAGCAAAAACAATCTGAGGAATTTTTAGAAGTCCGTGGCATTTTGTAACCTAAAATCACATAAAATTAATTTTAAAACAACTTTCAAACTTCTATTTTATATTTATTGGATCTACTTAAAAAAAATACTCAAACTACACATCAAATACTTAATTCCAATGTAGAGAACATGAACTTTATGCAAAACTTCAAAATATTTGATATAAAAGGTAAACAATTAAACGACAAGTTTTCACTGAACTGTTGTAGTGTCACAATGCTTACTACCATAAAAATCACCTTCTGCATTTCCCTCCTTGCAACTCTCTGAAACTCATTTTGTATGTATATTTACTTTTTGTAACGTTGACGAATGAAAAAATTGAAAAAAAAAAACAAATTTTGAAATATAAAAAAAACCATATCGAAAAATCTAGACGTGATAGAAAAAATCGGCAGACGTTTGAATCATATAATTCTTCTTCTTCTTTAAGTGCCGTCTTCGTTGCGAAGGTTGGCAATCATCAGTGCTATTCGTATTCGTGACACAGCCGACAGAAATAGTTGGTTTGTGGTGCACCCGAACCAGTCACGTAAGTTTCTCATCCATGAGTGACGCCTTCTTCCTACACTTCTCTTTCCTTGAATTTTTCCTTGCAATATCAGTTGGAGTAGTTAGTACTTTTCTCCTCTCATGACGTGTCCTGAAGTTTACGCTTTTTTACCGTAATGATAATTTCTTTTTCCTTTTTTATTCTTTTCAGGATTTCCATGTTGGTCACTTTATCGGTCCATTTTACCTTAAGTATTCTACGGTACAACCACATTTCGAACGCCTCCAGTTTCCTTATGTCCAGTCCAAGCCTCTACACCATAGTACAGTACCGACAAAACATAGCATCGCACCATTCTGATTTTTAAATCCAAGCTGAGATCGCTGCCACGGAGCACTCTTTTCATTTTCACAAATGTTGTTCTCGCCTGTCCTATTCTAGTTTTGATTTATTCAGAGCAGTCGTTATTTTTATTTCCAATTGTACCTAAGTATTTATAACTGTCAATTTTTTCTATGGAGTGGTTATTTATATGAATTTGTGAATTGTTTTGTGCTGCTTTTTAATATAATCATAAATTTTGTCTTTTTTACGTTTAGTGACAGTCCGAACTCTTCACTCGACGTATTAACTTTGTCTACTGCAATCTGTAATTCGTTTAGGTTGGTAGCTATCAGGATCGTATCATCCGCACATCTTATATTGTTGATAGGCACTCCGTTAATTTTTAGTCCTTTCGTTTCATCGTCCAATGCTCGTTTCATTAACGCCTCCACGGATTTCTATTTCTTCGGTGTTATTCCCTTCTATTTTTACCACTGCTTTTTGATTAGAATAAAGATTCGTAATAATTTTTATATCTCTGGTGTCTAAGTTCTTCTCTTTCAGAAGCGGGATAAGTTGTTCGTGTCGGACCCTATCGAAGGCTTTGTTGTAATCAATGAAACATATATAAAGATCCTGATTCATATCCATACATCGTTGGGTGAGAACGTTCAAGGCAAATATTGCTTCTCTTGTGCCTAAGCCACCTCGGAAACCGAACTGAGTCTCGCTGATATCTTGTTCTAATGTTTTGTATATCATATGACTCATTAGACTGATTGTTCAAAAGTCTGTGCATTGCCTTGCATTATGTTTTTTTGGGATAGTGACGAACGCTGATAGCAACCATTCCCTGGGTATAATACCTGTTTTGTATATGGTGTTGAACAGATCTGTTAGACTGTGTATGTTTTCCTCTTCTATCAATTTGAGAATTTCAGAGGGTAACTCATCAGGCCCTGCAGCTTTTCCATCTTTTGTGATTTTTATAGCATGGATGACCTCTTCTTTAGTTATTTCCGGTCCACTGTTTTCTTATTATATAATATAATATTATAACATATATAATATAATATTATAACATATAATAATACAATATAAATTTTATGCTTTTTTAAAAATTATTTCGGCCAATTGACACAAAAAAAAATTGACTGGTTCCTAAGTACAATATATTGAAATTCAGTTTTGACAGGCTCGCAATAGGCTTTGTGTTTGCGGATCGGATGGAATTTTCCCCATGTCATGTTAGAACTGTTGGCATATATTTTTTTGTGGGGTTATTTATCCGCGTCAGAAAATCAAAACTGAATTCCGTGCGTCGCCGCGTCCTTGAATTCCCGCGAGTTTCGCCACTGGCGTAAAAATAAGCGTCCCGATTGCCCGATATCGTCCGCGTTCTATTTTATCGACCCCGAACGATTATTACGTTTATAAATACCCGCGTGGTGTGACGGAATCCGAAACGAAGATTTTGAGGGCCCATTTATCAGCCGAAAACTACTCTGTTCTTTCATGTAGACGTGTGTCCTAATTTGCGTGGTTTTAGAGATGCAGGGCGTCCAAATTATTTATGTGGGACGCCACTGATGTTCTGAAGGTTTCATCAAGCGATCAAAAACAAAAAGAAAACGACTTTTAACCTCAAATATTTTTAAAACGTCGATTAGTTTTGATTAGAGAGATGTTTGTTAACTTGTGTCGTTTTCGAGGTGCAGGGTGTAGAAACAAATTGGTTTTTTACTAATTTCTCAAAAACCGATTTTGATAAAACTTGCCACGATCATCTGTCGTCATGAGGGTCTTTCATTTTGTGTAATTGAAATAAAATTTTTCGTGCCAGTGGCGTTCGAGAAACCGATCTAATTGACATTTATAGCTAGGATAGCTGATGTTTCGAAGATTTGATAATTTTAATAGTTCAAGCAGTAAAAATGCAACTGAATATCATTTAAAAAATAAGACTTAATTTAAACATTTCCCCCGGATTAGTATTGACTTCTAACCTTAAAATATTTTGAAAACATTGATTTGTTTTTGTTTTTGTTTTCTGCACACTAGATGTTAGAAGTTTCTAGAAAAAATCGTTTTTTTTTTTATTAATTATTCAAAAATTTTTAAGATGATTTTGACAAAACTTGTCGCATTTTCGAAGACTCGATATTTTTTTTAAATCAATCAACCAAAAATTTAAAAAAATGCGATTGGGATTGTTTTTTAACACGGCCTTTCGATCAGTATTGGCTTCTAACCTAAAATATTTTCAAAGAGTTAATTAGTTTTGGTTATACAGATATGTGTTAACTTGGTTTGTTTTCGAGATACAGGGATTTATACGTTTATAGAAAAAAATTGGTTAGTTTTGGTTAGTTTTATATAAAAATCTTTTAGCTGATTTTGAAAAAACTTGCCACCGTCATCTGTTGTCGTAAGTTCCAACAAAGCAAGCAACCCACTTAGTTCTCGAACTAAGGTGGCTTTTACTTGATGAAAATCCATAAATAAAATAAATAAGAACCAAAAGTTCAGATTTTCACGAAATTATATATTTTTACATGACAATTGTATTATATATACAATAGTAAAAACACTTTTAGTTCTTATTTATTTTGATTTTTACTTAGTCCTTTGTTAGCCAAGATTTTTATGGATTATTTGGAAAATATCATACCAGAACATCCTTTAAGTAAAAGTTTTCTATGATGGTATAGATACGTGGATGATGTCTTTGCTTGCTTTGTTGAAACGGACAGACAATTGAATTCTTTTTTAAATTACACTAACTCATTACATAATCGTATAAAATTCACTATCGAGATTGAACAGGATAACTATATTAATTTTTTAGACTTAACTATTACGGAAACGCCATACAAATTATATTTTGCAGCTCAAAGCAGCCTTATGCACACAAAATGGCTGCATTTCACTCTTTTATACTCAGACCTCTTAATACGCCACTCTCAAAAGAAAATTACAACAAAGAACTTAATATCATTAAACAAAATGCCCTGATCAACGGCTACAATTCGTCCATTATCGATAAAATTATAAATAAAAAACAAATCGAGACAACAATGAACTCTATTTATCCGAAACCTAATACAGAACACGAACAATTTAAAATAATTACATACATAGGAGAAACCAGTGAAAAAGTTTGAAAACATTTGTGAAAATGTGGTTTCAAAATAGTTTTCACAACTAACAACACAATAGGTAAAATTTAAAAAAAGCAATAAAACTAAATATCCAAAATCTCAAAAACCAGGTGTCTACAGGTTGAAATGCCGATCTTGTCCTAAAATTTATATTGGACAAACAGGTAGATCCTTCAAGAAACGCATTAACGAACATAAAAGGGCGTTTAAAAACAACAGTCTAGATTCTAATTATGCTACACACTTGAACACAGAAAAATACATTTTTGATATTTTCCATACAGCCATAAAAAGTAGGAAATAAAATTTATTGGAAGCCACGGAGATTAACAAAATGAGACATTCAAATGTATTTCTTAACGATCAATTAGATTTGAATACCTCTCCATTATTAAACTTAAATTCTCACAACATTAATTAAGGTTTTGTTGTCATTTTTCGGTATATATAGTAGCAGATAGTTTGTAAATATTATTTGTTGTCGAAACAATTGTCATTTCAATTTTAGTTCTTATTTATTTTCTTAATGATGAATATAAAAACAGAATTATATATAAAAGCTGTCTAAATTTTCTATTTCTAATCAGCGCAGAAACGAGAATAATTCTGTTATAATTGATTTCAACGTCAACGTTAACTTCTAACCTCGAATATTTGTAAAGCCTCGATAAGTTTCAGGTTAATTTTGGCCGCCCCCGTCCCCATTCCCGGTGCCGCCCGGCGACTAACGCCGTCCGTTTTGTTTTTTCAGACGTTTGGCGGTCGACCGCGACTCTGGTCCTCCCACTCGAACCTCCGCGTCAAGGACCGCGATGCGGCGATGAGCGGCGAAGACATGGCGACCACGGGCTACTGCTACGATTTCGGCGTCGGCGCCGTCGTCCCCAAAAAGGACAAAAAATGGTCGCTGGGCAGCCTGTTCAGGCGCGGCAAAAAACGCGACGAGAGCGCGAGCAGCAGCGACGAGGAGCGTCGCGGCGGCGGCTTTTTGGGGCGGCGCCGGCGCAAATCGGACGGCAAACGGAAGAAGCCGAAGCCGCTCGTCACTTTCGATCACGTGGTGCATCCCCGGACCGCGTCCTACAACGGCTACCACAACACTCGGCAGCGCGATGACCCGGGCATCTTGTCCGACCCTTCGGGCGGATTCCGCACCTATTCGAGGACGACGCCCGCGCGTGGCGCCTCGCCCGGCTCCTCCGCCGACAGTATAGCGCGCAAGAGCAAAAAAGACTCGACCAAGGCGAGGGCGGCGGCCCGCAGGACCGCCCTCGGCCACGAGAGCAGCTCCGACGAGGCGGACTCGCAACGGTCGACGTCGTCGCTGCGTATCAGGAGCGACGAGAGCCTCGCGGGGAGCTACAGCAGGAAGTCGCGGGCGGCGCGCACCGAGCGTTACCTCAAAAGGCACTCGCGCGACGGCGAGAACCCCCACCACTACCTGAAACTGTCGAAATCGGACGCGGACAAGTCGCCCAGCAGGAGCCCGAACCCGCCTCCGTCCGCCGCGAGGGTGAGCAACTCGACCAGCAACCCCTCATACAAGCCGCCCCTCTCGATGAACGAGTACAACGGCACGGTGCGGAGGACGGGGGAGGAGGAGGAGGAGAACCGCGTGATCCACGTGCGGTTCCCTATCGTTAGGCCGCGGTGCGACCCACCGCCGCAGCCGCCCCCGAGGGACCCGAACCGAAGCGTCGCGGCCGCGAGGCCGACCACGTGTTACTTCGACACGGACCACCCCTCTAAGCCGTTCGGTTACCGTTCCAATTCGGAAATGCACCTGCCGAACGAGGCGACGATCCACGCGGTCCGGCCCGCCTCCGCCACCCCCGAACCGACCAGGCACCGCAACAAGTACCGCTATCTTACGGACAAAAGTCCGAGAAGTCGCAAACCCATACTGATACGGGCGCCCGAAGCGAGGAAAGAGTCGACGCCCACGCAGGACGCGCTCGATTTCTGGAAACGGATCGAGGAGGACGTGAACCGGACCTGCGGTCCGCGCATGTTCACCGGCCAGACGCGCGTCCACTCGCGGGTAATCCTGCCGGACGCGTCGCGACGCGACCCGAGCCCTTTCGAATCCGTCGACGAAGCGAACCGCGCGGAACGCAAATCGTCGAACCTGGAGGACGCGCTCGACGAACTGGAGGCGATCTACAACAGTCTGAGGCTCGGCGACGAGGATCTGCTCGAGCGGGCGGAGCAAAAGGAACGGGAGGCGGCGGAGAGGAGGGCGCGGGAGTCGAGACGCGGGGGCGGCGCGACGAGCGACTCCGGTTTCAGTTACGAGCCGTTCGAGCGGGCGCCGCGGCGCCGACGCGACAAAATGCCCGACACCGAGCACGACGACATGTACAACCGAAAATTGGCGGGCAGGAAAAAATCCGCGACCATAGGCGACCCGCAGTCGGTCATCGCCAGCGTCAGCTACCTGCTCGCCTCGCCGGCGCACCAGGGCGTCGACGAAACCGACGCCATAACGCGCGACGACCTCCTCTATAGGAACGTTAAAAGGTCGCTGAGCAGCCCGAAGACCGTCGAGCCCCAGCCGCCGTTCGGTATACCGCTAGGACCCGTGAGCGCCGCCCCCAACAGCGACTACCTCCACGCGACGCCCGTGAACTTATGTCGGCCGACGCCGCGGCCGATCCCGGACGTCGTCAAGGACGACCTAGCGTTCAGGAACCTGCGCAAGGATCCGAACAAAGAACCCGCGCTGCCCAACAAACTCGACCTCAACTACTTGAAGAAGCGCCGCGCGGTGCGCTCCCTGTCCGCCAACATCGGCACCTTGCTCGGCGTCGAACCGCTGGACATCGCTAAGAAAGTGCTCGAGGAGAAGAGCACCACCAACGGAGACATTTTTAAAGAGAGCCGGCTCCGGTTCTTGGACGGCCTGAAGGGCACCGCCCCGACCTCCCCGTCGTTGGACGACCTGCTCGATTCGCTGGCGATCGAGACCAAAATCACCACCGACCGGATCGCCAAGGAGCTCGAGGAGTTGGAGGAGGGACGTAAACAGATCGAGGCGGTGGAGGAGACGGTCGAACCGATGACGTTGGAGCCGGTGGTGGCGGAGACCGCGAATCTGGTGCAGTCGTGCGTGGTGCCCGACGTCGAGTCGGACCACGACTACGAGAACGTCGAGTCCGATCGGGAGACGAGCAAATGTCGCTCGCCGTTCGAGGAACGCAAGGGGGCGCTGGTGGCCACGTTCCAAGAACTGAAGAGGGACTTGGACGAGATCAGAGTGCCACGTTTCGACAACAAAACCGACTCGGTGTACGACAATTTGGAAGGTGAGCGGCTGCCGTGTGCTCATCCCACTAATCGCGCGCCTAACCCGCCGCCGCTGGAGTCGCCGGAAGGTCTGAAGTCGCCCAAACTGGTCTTGGAGGCGCGTCGCGGCGCCTGCGGCGGCGAGCCCGCCGATTGCGAGGCGCCGCCCCGTTGGTACCGCGACCCCGCCAAGGTGGCGGTCGCGTGTTCTTACGGGCTCGCGTGCGCTCACCAACTCGCGTCGACCGATCCCGTCACCGTGTTGAGCATCCTGCTCGCCGTCATATCGTTCCTCGCGGCGCTCTTTATGTGACGACCCTCCTCGAAGGGTGTGCGGAGGTCACGTCGTTACAGCCCGTTATACTTCGACCAGAAATATAGTGCTTTTACAAGCGACCCCATCGTTAACTTGGAATACTCTTTATTACTTCAATAGTGCACCCTGCTCTTAACCAATCCAAGACCGTCCTACGAATTTATCTTATGTGCTGAGGCAGTTCGTCTTCTAAATTGTCATTAGGTTCGACTACTATATCCACTTCGTCTTCAAATTCTGCGTTGTTTTCCATGTCTTCTTCTAACAGGGGAACATCTGCTTCATTCCACGGTCTCTACATTTTAAAGTGTTAAAAAACAGGAACCTTCAAAAAATGTTCAATTGTAAGATTCTAATAAATGTTTATTTGTATTCTTATTCGAAGAACTATAATAGAAGACCACAGGAAAACAGCCTGTTTGACCCTGACAGGCTCGAGAATCAGGTACATAAATCCTTACTTACTGGAAGGATCATATTCAAGTACCTCCGTAATATATACAAGCATTTTGCAATTTAGATTAAACTCTTAAGAACGATGCATGTTATGTTCGAAAATATCTCGCAGCAAATCAAATTTAAAAGGGTCTATTTACGTTTGCAAATAAAAATTGCAAGTTTCTCCGAATATTCGTTGGGATGGGTTTTGCTGTAAAAGACTTAAAACGTCAAAACAATAAATGCACTCTATTTTTGGTCGTACGATACCCGGTCTATCCCGCTTCTGATTTCACGCGATTTCAGCCTCCGACCCCTTTCGCGGGAACCGCCGCAACGCGTCAGCAGCATGGCCTCAGCTTTGTACGTGTGTGCTCTCTGTATATTAACCGTTCTCTCGAATACATCACGCCAAATAATGATTCCTAAGCTGTAAAAGTATTAATCGATTGTAAATAAAAAAGTAAAACGAATTTTATAATATTTTATTTTACCCCGAGGGGAAGTTTTGCTTTAAAATGCATGACGTGTCATTTTTATGGAACGGACCGCCCTCAGGAATGCATAGATCCGCCCTCGGCGGGCGGGGTTACCGGTTAGACCAATCGGCCCTCGCATCTACGCTCGGATTGGTTTATTTCGCCGTAACCATTCCAAATTACTTGATGGCGTTATGCAGCCAACCTTAAAGTCGGAAGAAGAGCAATTTTCCCGCCATCCTCGTTACTTTTGCGTTGGCTGCAAATCGCTTGGCATTTTACACGTCCTCCTCCATATGTGGTTGGCCGATTCGCATACCCATCCCGCATGGTCAATTCTCCAAAGGCTTTGCGTGTGCTTTAGTGGACGATCTCGGTCCTCCTGTTTTGACCAGTTGATGTTTTGATTGTAGGTTAAGTTGTGGGCGTTACCGTTCCTCCCTGCGGCAACCAATTGACCGACCCTCCCCCCCGATCCGGAGCTTTGCGCCGGCGCCAACCGCCCCTACGTAGTTCCCGTCTTGTTTCGTCGATTTTTCGTGTCGTTGTACTACCGACAAATTAAATCGGCTGAACATAACAAAAAAGAAAATGAAAATCTTACACCTAAGGTGTCTAGAACCTATCAAATCTTAAGACAAAAAGGTGCAAAGTGCGAAAATAAGCCGAGGAGCATCAAAATATTATCTAATAGCAAAACGCTCGCTAACATTCAGCTCGATATTTTTTCCCGATTGTACAGGGTGGGCCTTATTACTGATTTTAGGAAAAAAAAGTTTATACAAAACTTTTATGGTTTAAATTAAATTTTAAAATTATTTATTTTTTATATATACAGGGTGTCCGATAAGTACTGGACCGACACATTAGTAGCTTTAAAATTTAAAGTGGAACACACTATACATTTTGGTATTCTTAGAATCCTTGAAAAAAATAAAGATAACTGTTATGGACTACTTATTCGAATTGTGTGTAGTTTAGACGGAAATTGAGGTTTTTTTTATGCAAAATTTTATTCTTAGTAAATATGGTCTTCCACGGCTGGCGGAATGATTACTTGATCAAATTTCAAGCACATTTTTAGAAGACTTCATTCTAACGAGCGGAGATGACTAAGTAATTTAAATTATACAGGGTGTCTTAAATTGAAGGACATTTTTTAAAAATTTCAACTTGCAGTACTCATTTTTTTTTGTAAGTGAGACGCCCATGTTTTAGATATTTGTTCGCAAAGCGTGTCAAAATACCTATAATTTGAGAATATACCAGAATCCTCCACTCATCGTTGGAGTGGGAGAAATTGTTTAAAATTAAATAAGCAGAAAACATTTAGTTTTTTACCAGTGCAATATCTAGAGGAACGGGACTATGACGCAATATTACACTACTACAATATTTTAATGGACATGCATTTTGCTGATACTGGACAGCTGGGCCGATGAGTCGATTTTTCCTCAATTTTTAATTGGGAAAAACACACATTACTGGAGTGATGAAAATAAGAAAAGGGTATTTTAAGTAAAACGGCTAGGTAGACGATCTGTCAAAGTGTAGTGCAGAATATACCGATCAAAGGTTATAGGGCCAATTTTCTTTAATGAAAACTCTTTTAAATATAATATATATAATATAAAAACAATATGATATATAAAAATAATATATTAATAGTAAATGAAAACGTGCTCAATTAATATGTCAGCAAGATGGCGCTCCGTACCACTGGGGAAACGATATCACTGAATTTTTAAATCAAAATTACAATCCTTGGATAGGACAAAATGGAAACATCTGCTGAGCACCTCGAAGTCCAGATCTCACCCCACTGGATTTTTTTTCATGGGGGATAATTAAAGATACGGTATATAAAAACAGATGCATTATGGTAAATAAACTACAACTGACTAACGTTTCGCCAATCATCCTGTTGGCTTCTTCAGAGCTTGACTGAAACTCACATAGACGTTGCTCATACAACGTGCGCTTTTCAAAATGGTGGACACCACCCGTTGCGAAAATTCTTAAAATTAATTAAAAAATAAAAATGATATGGTTTTTTCAATTTTTTAAAAATAATTAGCATTAGATTTGGTGTTGGTTATTGGTATTTTAAGAACGCTTTCCGAAAAAATATCAAAAACATACTACAAGTTGAAATTAAAAAAAAAACTTCTTTAATTTAAGACACCCTGTATAATTTTAAAATACCTATACATCAAGTATTACTGTCAGCCGTCGAAGACCATATTTACTAAGAACATAATTTTGCATGACAAAACATATGATCTCGAAATTCGAATAAGTAGTCTCTACAAGTTACCTTTATTTTTGGCAAGGATTCTATACGCACACAGATGTCAAACGTTCTATTTGTTGTTTAAAACCCAGCTTTTTTAATGTATAATCTCAAAATCGATCGCGTACAACTAGAAAAGAATTCTACATTCGATATTTTCCTTAAAACGGAATAATTCAAGTCAACTGTTCTTTTCTTAATTTCAATGTTAACGTTACCGTTACCAGGCCCGTTGTTTGTGATGGTCAGCTGATTAACAACCGCTCGCGTTCGGCGACTGTGCCGTTGGTTGCCTAACCCCCGCGCCGCTGCCTCTGAATTGTAGCGCAGGTGTGTTTGGTGTCTTTTCCTTTCTCACTCGTGTAGCGATAATGTTAGACGTTAAGCATATGATTATAATATCAAACGAAACCGAATAAATGTATATTTCCTTATGGTTTTTGTGTCGTCATTTTCTATTTCGGTCGGTTATGTATCGGTGAAAGTCACTTTGCCTAGCGAAAATGGCGTCGTCGCCGTAATCGCGGTGTATTCGAATTTCTTTTGTTTCGCGAGTCGGGCGGCGGCGGCGACGGTCCTTTGTGAATGCTTCCCCCACCCCTCCGTCCGATCGCGGTATCTTATCTGTGTCTCGGTGTAGTTTCGCTTATTCAGGCGGTGTTGCCGGATGTACGCGCCCCGCCGACGACGAAGAGTTTTCCCTCCCTCTCGATAACTTCCACAGGCTGCTGTAATACTTTTTACAAAACTTCTGGATGCCTGCGTCGGTGTTTGCTAGGTCGAACTTTGTCTGAAGAAGCCAGCATGATGATTGGCCAAACGTCAGCCAATTCGACTCAGAAAAAACCGACGCATGAGGAATGCGGATGATATTATGTCCATTTTTAGTTTACCTCTGGCATTTTCCCCCGACTTCCTTGAACGTTCCATATACCCCAAAACATATTCCTTTCTTTAGCATTTTTCTTTTTGGTAATTTGGAATTTTTCGCCTCAACCCCAACCAGGCAGACCAGGTAATTTGTGATCCGAGTTGTCTTCTACTAGCTTTTAATGATCCAACATTAATAACTACAAGGCAGCAGTTTCGCCTGTACTCTCTGACCTTGTTTTTTTAGCAAGGTGTTACTCATCGATCAACTACCTCTTGAAAGAGTTAGAAATGAAAGTATACGGGAACGAATGGAACTTCAAGAGACTGACATCGAAAGAAAACAACTGATCTGGTACGGCCATGTACAGCGTATGAACGAAGACGATTACCTTATCAAACAATGAATTGGTTATCAAAAAGAGGGCGTTCAAAGTTCGCTATATGACTATCACTATATTGATTGATCAGTCCTGCCGGTCTGAGCAGGAATATATTATGGAAATAATTTGTTCTTCCAATGGGAACAACAATTTTGTGGTCTTTAGCTGAAACCAATTGGCCGAGCAAGTCCGGCAAAGAGCCAGCCTTAGTGCACAATGTTATGGAACACTTCTAGACTTA